TTCCTGTATGCAGGTCACAAGCGGGTGCTATGTAGTTAGATTACATTTAGTAATCTAAATGTAAGTAATCTTTAGCAAATTTCAAAGTGGATATCTACTTTTTATACTGTGCCCAAATTCACTTAGCATTTAAAATGATTGATACTAGTTTTTTTAATGATTTATAGGCAAAATAGAATTGTAATTTTATTTTCAGACAAAATAGAATTTTAATATTGCCCATTGATCATGCCATGACAGAAAATAATTATTTGCTATCAATATCATCTTGAACTTGAATATTGGTGCATCCCCGGACACATTATGTATTTAGATTGTCCTATATTTGCGCTTTCCTACCCAGGTCTCCTTGGCAGATATCTGTCCTGTTGGCTCCCCCAAGAATGAACTGTGGATTGCTACAAATGTCCTGTTTAGGAATGAGAAACACGCATTTATAATTGTTATAAAAATATTTTACATCATAACTGTATTTTTAGATTTCTACAAGCTTCAGAAAAAGAATATGACTATATCTGTGAAGATCTCAGCACCACCATAGAAATTCAGCAGCTGAAGGTCATAAAGTTTGCTGACCGGAACTTTGCTAGCGCGTTTTTATGAGCTACATCTCAAAAGATGTCAAGGCAAGATAATGTACAGTATGTAAGTCCTTCTCATTATTTTTTAAAGTGTCAGTAAACACATATGAAAATGTGTGACTGACTTTTTGAAGCTCCAATCCAAAAATTGATTTAACGACCTAGCAAAATGTCCAGTAACCTGATTCTTTGAAAGCAGTATTATGAAGCGAAGCTAGTAAATGTATATGTCACACATCAGTCAAAACAAATAGGTAAACTTTTTACAAGTTACATGAAATGGACTGACAAAAAACACCACATATATCCACTAATACAAATGCATGACACATTTAATCCGTCTATACTTTAAAAATTAAACGTTACTTCAACATATTTGCTTATATTATTTAATAGCGATGATAAGAAAATATAGCCACATATCAAACCTTTTGACACAAGTCCATAATCAGGTAGAGCTCTACTTTATGAAGCACTGGCACAGCATAGTATGCATGATTTGGCAAGTCAGCTGCTTGAGACCCCAGAGCGTGTTAAACCACAGCCATGTCACCCCCACACACACACACACTACACAAACATTTTTGTCTGCAAAAATATCTTATCTCATGCTGCCTACTCAGATAAAAACTGCAAACAAAAGCAACTGCTTGTTGCTTAGGTATGTAAGACCAACTGAAAAACTGAAACATTGCAATGAATTATTAATCAACAGCTGCTAGAGTAAATACATTATTTTTATGCATGTTTGAAGAAATGTATGGAGATGTTCATGTAAGGAAATAAAGTGACATTCTCACAAAATATAAAAATAGCTAAAATAATATTTTAAAAATATAAATGAAATTAAAAATATTTCATTTATTCAAATTAATTACATTCAATTAAATTAAAAACACATAATTTGATGTGTAAAGCCACAGTTCACTTCTGAGTCAAAACTGACCTGAACATAAAAGATGCAACAATTTAGTTTAAATGGTTATTGTAACAAAGTTCGTAGTCACGGGAAGAAGGAGGCGGGAACCGGCGAACACTTAAACAAAATTTTAATCAAATAAACAAACACAAAACGAAAGTAAAGCCCCTCGCGGACGACTGCCGCACACAAAACACAAAATAAACTCCAGGCCTGGTCCTCTCTCGTTCGACACGGTCGTCACTCCTCCCTTTTATCCTTCCGGAGCTCCTCCGTGGGACTCGAGACCGGTGAGTGGTGCAGGTGTCGCTCATTATCAATTACTCCACCGGCCTCGCTCCGTTCCCACGGCTCTCGGCCCCGCCCCCATTCGTCACAGTTATATCTCTTTAAAAAATAATTGTGGGGGGAAAAAATGTATTTTGATGGCCTTAATCCATAAAAATTGTATTTATTTATTTATGTTTTAAATTGTTTGTACTGCTTCATGGGTCAAAACTGACCTGAACGCAATAGGAGGGTTACATTAAATTAAATTAAAATATGTTTTAATTTTTAATGAGCCAAGAAGAAAATATCCCCATGCAGAATTGCAGAAATGATATGATCATTTAATTCAAAATACATCTCTACCACAGAGGGTCAAATGCAACTGATCTCATGCACAGTGCCACCTTACAGTAGGTCACTCACCGATGGGCGCTTCCATTCAAGCTTTAGAGGGAACTTTTCACTGTAGAAGAGAGAGGAATCCTGGGCAGGGAACAGGGGGTCTTCAAACAGCACTTTCTTACGTACATATTTGTCTCTGAGCTCCTGAAAGTCCTTGAGACGCCTAGCATCTTTAACAGCCTCGTTGCGACTCAAAATGGCTGAATAAATGTTTCCCGGGGCAGTAAAACCACTGCCCACAGTCTGTGGAGCAGCTTCAGTCAGTTGGACAGATGTTTCTGAGAACTTCTGTTCTCCTGCCATATTACTATTTGATGACAGATGTCAAAGGAGCGATGAATGAATATAGGGCTCAGTATCAGTATCCGAGGTAGCTCAATTTTCTCTTAGTCCTTATTTCACTCCTCTGTTCCTTTATATTCTGGTGGAGGCACACCCCTGGTCATGTACACAAATAAACACTCACACTAAGGCAAATGCTCTACACTGGTTCACACACGCATGCACGCATGCTCACATGTGCTTGCAACTTTTCCCCGTTCCTCTTAGAAGCTAACTCTATTTATAGGCCTCCTACAGGCACCTGAGGGTTTCTCTCTTTCTGCCTGTCTAATGGGGGCATGATTCCCAGCTGGTGACCTCAGACATTTCCAATGCAGATAATGGAAATTACAGAGGTCCAGTCAAAGATTAGAAAAGTAAAACCCTGGAGCACTATACCACAAAGCATCCGAATGTATATTTCTACAAACCTTTACAGATGAACACGCAGGTGTTAAAAAGTACATTCTCCATCATGGACATTTTTTTAAAACTATACTTAAAACTTCTATTTACTTCTAATACATCTACTATACCTAATATACACATGCTGTACATTTTATATATTAAGACTTAATAAATTTCTCTCTCTTTTTATGGAAAAAAGTAACTGGCAGTGGACTTTGCCTTTGTGTGCCCGATCTTAAGTTTCTTTTTTCTGAAGAAATTTGCCAGATCTACTACTCTACAAACCTTCTTGTCATTTTGCAAACCATCAATGAAATAAATAAATAAATAATCACAACCCTACAGAAGACAAGTGGTTTGGACAAATGAAAATGAATGAATGAATGAATGAATGTGGCCTACAGGACAGAAAGTTGCATTATGTATTAAATGTATTTAGAGGTCTTCTTTTGAACACTCATATCATAGGCCTATGTCTATGTAAGGTAAGTGTAAATGGGGCAAACATATAATTTATAATATATATCATACAATATATAAACGCATCATATATAATCATCTCTCTACATGTAGTGAATTCATATACAAAGGATGAACGAATAAATGTGTATAATTTCTCCCTCTCGGTCATCGAGGGGTTAAATCATGAGCTGTGACGGTGTCCGAATGACGTCATCCAGCAGATGGCGCTGTGTTACTTTGGTCCTGATTTACACTCGCTTAATAAACCACAGAGCAGTTCATACAGGAATAAGCAACAGCGCACCTCAAAACTCGGAGCTGTCGCCATTTACCTGTAGCTTTTTCAGGGATATCGGTGTTTATTTAACTTGAGTCCATTCGTGTCGTAATATTGAAGTGTTACCGGAGAAACAAATCGTTCTGTAAGGACTTTAGTGAAGAACGTGAATATCCGGGAGTGTAGCATCCGCGGCTATCTGACTAAACGCATCAAATCTGACAGCCAGTAATATTTGTCTTTCTGTTTTAGTTGACGTTAATGGCCGGGAAGTTTTGATATTTTGCTTATTTTATTTAACATTTACCATATCGCCCAAGGAAATCTATTTCTCGGATATAATAATCGCGAAGGCTCCGGAGGCCGCGGAGCTGCGCTGCTAGCTTCTCACTCGCGAGTCGGCCAAGGGGAAAGTGAACAGTCATTTCATATCTTGGAATTTCTGTGGACCACTAACTCTCCCCTTTGACAGCTACACTCCTACACGGACTCGTATTGTTTGAGGATTTATCATTTTTTTCTCATCGTCTTGAGGATTTTCCTCCTCCGTGTCCTCAACAACCACCGACTAGCTGCTTCCGGCGAGCTGGCAACGCCGCTCATCTCAGGATAGACAAAAGTATGTTGTGTTGTATTTGTTTCTTATCAGTGAGGTGGGATAGTCGGCTGTAGTCTGTTTTGAATGCCTGAGCATAAACTGAGGCCTTGGTTGAATTGAGGACAGGACTGCGAGGAGAGAGAAATGATGTAAACATTACTAAAGCAGCGTGTCTGCTCATGCCTCAGTCATTGTTACGGTCTTGTACAGTTTTGGAGGTCAAAATGACCTTAGTTTTAAGTGAAACTGACACAGTGAAACTGAGCTGACAGTTTAAGAGCTGATTCAGTTCAGTTTCTGCTGTTTAGATTTATCCTTCATTTAAAGTTGTTAGGTTTTTTTTTAGTGTTTCAGAGTGAATGTGTTGCTGGTTCCCTTTCGTTTAAGATTTGGGCACATTCAAAATCCATAATTTATATGGGATATCATAACATTTAACCTGAAAATGTAATGTAAGTTACATGGCTTAGTTTACTTGTATTTTGTTTACAATCATCTTCATCAATTTTCAGGGCTCCTACAGTCATAGAAGACAATCAGGAAAATCAACAAAACAATAAAAAGAAACAGAAATGTACAAATTAAATAAATATTATAGTAGCTATCTTTGTAATTGCAGTCTCTACAAAATATATGTTTTCAAATCCTTAAAACTGCAAAGGTCATGGAAATTAATTGGTCAAAATGTAGAAACCCTGAATTTTGATTGAATTTGACTGAAGGAGGGGAAAAAAAACTCTTGACTGAATTAATATTTGAAGCTGTAACAATGTGACTCATGTATTAAAGGCAATATTTTACAGTTTATACTCTTTTGCAGCTCTCTGCCTCCTGCCCTTGAGGTGTGAGTCAGCCAGATTTCTTTTCCTGTGGCCGTTCAGGACAGCGCTGTCAGTTATCAGTCAGTGATGTCAGAAGAAGGAAAGCAGAGCGCCACACCTGCCCCTGCATCCACTATAGACATGAAGTCTGAGTCCACAGCCTCGCCACCTACCGGCCAGGGGGTTTCATCTGTGTCTCCCCCGGTGTCCACAGTAACACAGCCTGCACTACCTGCAACTGAGGATGAGGAGGAGGAGAGCGAAGATGAATCTGAGATTCTGGAGGAAAGCCCCTGTGGACGCTGGCAGAAACGGAGAGAAGAGGTACATTCCAAGTCTTATCAATAGCTTTGTGTAAAGAATGGACCAAAATTTAAGCCATAATTCACCGATAATGTTCCCCTCTGCTAAATGAAGACTGTGTTCATTTTTGAACCCCCTCCCCCCCAACAGGTTAACCAGCGCAACGTCCCAGGTATCGACAATGCTTATCTTGCCATGGACACAGAGGAAGGTGTGGAGGTGGTGTGGAATGAGGTCATGTTTTCTGAACGAAAGAACTTCAAACTACAAGAGGTAAAACTACTAACTGTGTGCCTGCTTTGTTGTTTCTATGAGAAAGATTTGCATTGATATGGGTAGTTGACTTATGTATCTCAATGAAATAATGGCTGAAACTTCAATGATATTCAACAAGGAAAAAATGTGGAGTATGACTTGATTTTGTGCATCAGAATGGAAGTATGCTAAAACATACCTTCATATCTGTTTTAGTATTATCCAATAGCTTGCATAACCTAAATAATGTCATTGTGATGGAAAGTTGTTTCAGATGAAGATTACATAAATTGTAATAATGTTTCACAATGTTACACTCTTTACTGTGTTTTTGATCAAATATGCAGCTTTGGTGAGATTTCTTTCAAAAAAACTTTTTTAAGGAACATGCAGGGTCAGTTTTGATTTCATGTTGACTTTAAGGGATCTTAATTGTTACTGATATGAATGAACTGAGAATTTGCTGTTAGTTACACAAAACACTTTATTTCAAATATCCTGCTAAACCTTTGTTTATTTAAACCTGATGGAGCATAATCGGTGAGTGTTCCGGTGTGAAAGTTCACCGTTGATTATTATCTCCATAGTCACAGATTCGACTGTACTGCTTCCTGTGTTCTTGCTTACTAGCATGTTAAGCTGTGAATTAGCAATACCAATGAGTATTTAACTATGAGTGTTGGGACAGTTTGATTGCTTCACAGAATGAGTGTGCTTGCCTTCATTTCTTGGGTGTAAGCTCCTTACATAAAGTAGTCTGACCTGTTTGCTGCCGAGCCTTTATGGAAACAGCATTATCGCTCTGAGCCTTCTGCTACTTATGAAAAGTATTGTAAGAAAAGCATTCTCTGTGGTTATGGTTTTATCTCTTGTGTGTTGAAATATTAAAAAGGTAATTCTGCTCTTTTTAATATTGCATACTTCACTCTGTCATTGCCTGTAAGCACGTTTAATCAAACCCAATTCATTAATGCCTGGCATAGAGTGGTGGGTGGACAGCCATCTGTTTGGCCCGTCCACATACTGTGCTCCGCTCTGTTTGACAGACACTCATCGTGGAATTCAATAAGTAATTTTAGACTTAGAGGTTGCGTTTTGACAGGCTTTGCTGTCTACGCTGCTGATTGCATTTCCCATAAGCACATGTGACTAGTTTTTCCCTTGATCGTTTAAATTAGTTTGTTATTGCATGATAAAATAATAAAGTTAGAGTTCAGTATTTTATTATAATAACCTGTTCCTCTAAAAATCTAAATGTTGTGGTACATATTTCTGTCAAACAGCTCCCTCAAGGTTAAATTAATTTACTTTTCTTTTGATATTTCTCAGGAAAAAGTGAAAGCGGTATTTGATAACCTCATCCAGCTGGAACATTTGAATATTGTAAAGTTTCACAAGTACTGGGCAGATGTGAAGGAGAACAGAACCAGGGTATGAAACGCAACAACAAAAATATTAAAAATGTCCCATTTTTGGAGTTTGTTTTTAATCATGTTTTTTTTTTTTTTGGTCACCACCTTCAGGTTATTTTCATTACAGAGTACATGTCTTCTGGAAGCCTGAAGCAGTTTCTAAAGAAGACAAAGAAGAATCACAAGACCATGAATGAAAAGGTACTTTGCTGCTCTTTGTCTGTTCAGACAAATAGACAAAAGAGCTGTTGAGACATAATGCACTGCAGACTAATACATATCTTTTGTCTTGATTGACTTTGCCTATCAGTATGGCTCAGATCAGAGAGATATTTTTTTAGCGAGAGCGTGCTAGTTGCTTTCTGGTACAATATTAATAATGTCAAATATAGGACATCATAAACAAAATGCATTATTTACTTTATTTTAACATGCAGTGATTCATATCAGTTAGCTTCATTTGTTTTATACTTTTAAGTCTTTTAAATTTTTGTTGCATTTGTTGCCTGTTTATTCTATGTTTTTCAGTATTAGGATTGGTGCATCCCTAGATATTTGTAATACTATTACTTGTGTTTTAGTTTAACTGACTGTAGTATTAGTTGGGATTAATGAAATAACCTGCTGTAGTATAATATCAGATGCAGACTTGTCTTCTCAGATGCCATTAACTCTTTCTGGGACTCTTCTAGGCATGGAAACGCTGGTGCACTCAGATATTATCTGCCTTAAGGTGTGTGTATTTCTCTCTCTGTTTTTTTGTGTTCAAATACTCAGATGTTTACCAGTAATGTGGAGATATAATTGGAAATGTTGAACAAAATTCCTCATTGGCACCTGGAATGTTAGCTGTCCATTTCTTTTTGTTTTGATGTTCCACTATAAGTCTTGTGGAGAGCTCCTATTACACTCACATTTCTCACCATTCTTCCTTCAGCTATCTGCATTCATGTGAACCTGCCATTATCCACGGGAACCTGACCTGTGACACCATTTTCATACAGCACAATGGACTCATCAAAATCGGCTCAGGTGGGCTAAAGCACATTGAGTATGACTGTTTAAATGTTACACATTGTATTATTGTTGCTGATGTTTTTTTTTTTGTAGTGGCCCCAGACACCATTAATAACCATGTGAAAACATGTCGGGAGGAACAGAAGAGTTTACACTTCTTTGCTCCAGAGTATGGAGGTAAAACTAGGTTTTAAAACCCATTATACAGTCTTGTTTCAGTGTGCAGTGTAAAAAATTACCTTGTACAATTTGTCCTCTTCCCTCATCCACTTCAGCTGTTGCCAGTGTCACTACAGCTGTGGACATCTATTCCTTTGGAATGTGCGCCTTAGAGGTGAGTGCTGTTTGTTTTGAGCTGAGGATCATTCATCAGGGTATCAGACTGCCCAGACCAGTGATTCAGGTTTTTCTCCCACTGTTTTAGATGGCTGTGCTGGAAATCCAAAGTAATGGAGAGTCCTCATATGTGTCACAAGAAGCCATTAATAGTGCCATCCTGTCTCTGGAGGACCCACTGCAGAGAGTGAGTATAGATTGTCAGGACTTAAATTATTTGCATTCAAAGATGCACTACCGTTTAAACGGGTCCAGTAACATTTTTGAAATAGGTCTCTTATGCTCAGCAAGGCTGCATTTATTTGATCAAAGATACCGAATAAAAATAGTAATATTGTGAAATATTATAATATGTAAAATAACTACTAGCAGCCTTTACTCCAGTCTTCAGTGTCACATGATCCTTCAGAATTCATTCTAATATGCTGATTTGCTACTCAAGAACCATTTATCATTATCGTTATTAAAAACAGTTGTGCAGCTTAATATTTTTATGGAAACTTTGGAATTTTTATAGAAATATTTTTTGAAAACTTCTGGTTTCTGGTGTTTTTTGATTAATAGAATGTTCGAAAGAACTATTTATTTGAAATGTTAATCCTTTGAAACATCATAAATGTCTTTATTTTATTTTTATCCATTTAATGGATTCTTCCAGAATAAAAGCTTTAATTTCTTTAAAAAAATCTTATGGACTCAAACCTTTGAATGGTAGTGTAAGTTGTACAGTTATTTTATGTTTTTATTCACAATTGAATAATTGAAAAATTTGGTAAGATGAGATGCGTGTGGAATCTGAATATGCATATCTGCAACAGGCTTTTCAGATTGCAAATAAAATAAATAATTTGTAAATTCAGTTGGTTTCCCCCACACTAGTATATGATATGTTGCATGTACCCAACTAAATTTAATTAACAATCACAAATATCAATCAGTGATTCTGAGTGTTGCAGTATAGCTGAAATATGAAGAAAATATGAATGAAGAAATACCTTCAAAAACAAAAAAATGCATACACACTTTTTTTTAATAGTTAGATGCATTGGATGTTTCTTTTTTTCTCCTCCCTTTAAGAATTTATGGTTAAATATGGTAACCGTTATTTGTTCACCACACCCCCCACTGTTGACTGTCTACAAGAGCCAATCAACTTTTCAGCATAATATGTTATTGTGATGTGAAGTGTCATGTTTCTGTGTGTGTTTTAGGAGTTTATTCAGAAGTGTCTGGAGGTGGACCCCAGTAAGAGGCCCACAGCCAGAGAGCTGCTTTTCCATCAAGCTCTGTTTGAAGTGCCTCTTTTGAAACTATTGGCTGCACACTGTATCGTCAGTCACCAGCGTGAGTCATGAGCTAATCTCATTATCATTCAGACATTTCATTTCATGTCAACTACTTCATGAATGGAATACAATGAAACTAAACACATTAAAACCATTTCCCCTTTGGCTTCTAGACATGATCCCTGAAAATGCTTTAGAGGAAATTACCAAGAATATGGACCCCAACCAGGTCATAATGGAAAGGAAAGAGGTCCAACTCAAGTGAGTCTCCTCCTGTGATTCATTTGTGCCTTGTTCTTGGTTTTAGGTTTCAAATAAGCTGTCATGCCACCTAAATGGCATCTTTTCCCATCAGACTCTCACAGTTTCCTGCTTTGGAGCTTGACAAGTTTCTTGAAGATGTGAGGTGAGCTAAAAAATTATTAATCATCTAATTTATCAAAAAAAATTTTTAAGAAAGAAAGGAGTTGGGCCACATTCAAATGTTAAGAAAGCAGTCACAATGTTCAAACAGGCATAAATGTAATATCAACATGTGCTCTTGGTTCTCGTGATGTAGGAATGGGATCTATCCGCTGACTGCCTTCGGCATGCCCTGCCCACAGCAGCCTCAGCAAGAGGCTGTCAAGTCCCCCATCGTGCCACCCTCTGTCAAAACGCCTACGCCTGAGCCTGCAGAGCTGGAGACCAGGAAGGTAAGAAATGGACTGATTTAAGAGACAGTGACCGACTATCAATGATTAAGAATAAATCACAGTTTTCTTACCTTCCCCCACTGTTGATCAGACAAATCTAGACAGGTGGTTACAGTCAAAGTCAACAGGATTTGCAGACGTTTAGTAACATATGTTTGTGTTAAAGATAATCTTTCTCCTTTAAGGTTGTACAAATGCAGTGCAACATCGAGCCTGTGGAGGAAGGAGCAAAACATCATGTAAGGATTTTTCGTGTTTATTGCTGTAATGACGTTGAAGTTAGATGATAATTCTGTGTTTAAAACTCCTCTCTGCTCTTTTTATAGCTGACCTTACTGCTAAAACTGGAAGATAAGCTGAACCGACACTTGAGTTGTGATTTGGCACCAAGTGAGTACTTTATCAGGCCCCAAACACACTCTACACAAGCATGTAAACACTTCTAGCTACACAGCTTGATTTCACATGCCGTTGTGTTCTGTAATGTGTCAGAATGAAGCACAAGTATGCGTTGTATTCTCAGCTGCAAGAGACACAGCTATAATGGGCATCAGCACAGACGGTTTTATCTTTCAAGTCAAGTTGCTCAGAATCAAGAAGCTTGCAGAGTTAGTTCAACTGTCAACATGTTTATAGCTAGCTACCTGAATGCACATCCGGTTTAATCCAACACAGATGTTTGTACCACGACATGAACAAATAAGCAATTTACAATGACCATTTGCATTCAACCAAATTTGTGTACCTGCGTAATATGTTTCTGGTCTAATGTTCTCGTTTCTGTTCTTATTTGTGAATTATAAAATAATTGTGTTACAAAAACATGCAGATTCTCTAAAGTGCATCAGATTCAGATTAGAATTGTGACTATAGAAAAATGAACTGTGTTAACATATGGCACTTTTCCACCAGCAGCATGTTGACTTATTGCAACAACGGAGTATTGCTGAAACTTAAGAATGGTGTTCTCTGTGTTTTAGATGAGAATGTACACGAGTTGGCCGTGGAACTGGTCCAGCTTGGCTTCATTAGTGAGGTAAGATGTTTCACTCAAGATTTAATATACACTATCATTCTTTTTGGAAAGAAATTACTTTCCTTTCATTCTGTTCATCAAAAAAAAAAAAGTATCACTGTTTCATATCACCACAATAATATTAAGGTGCACAACTGATTTCAACAGTAATAATAATAAGAAATGTTTTTGAGCTCTAAATCAGCATATTAGAATGATTTCTGAAGCATCATGTGACAATTACATTTAAAAATATATTCAAATAAAAAAGCTAAATGTAAACTTAAAAAAAAAAAACTGTACTGTACTTTTGATCAATAAATGCAGCCTTACGGAGCATAATAATTTTTTTTTCAAAACATTAAAAAACCTCACAGAACCCAAACTGTTGAACAGTAGTGTAGTTTAAAGGGGTGGTTGACTGTTTTTTTTATAGGCTTGATTGTGTTTATGGGGTGCAGTCTAACATGTGTTAATGCTTCGTTTGTTAAAAACGCATTATTTTTCACATAATTTACCTTTATTCCACACCTCTCTGTCCCTTCTCCTCTGAACGCGCTGATCATTTCCTGCTTTTATGAAGCCCCTCCCTCAGAAATACACGATGGGCTCTGATTGATTAGCTGGCCCAGTGTGTTGTGATTGGCTAAACCGCTTCTAGCACGCGTCTAATCGTCCCGCCCCTCAACATAGCGGCATGTGCTCCGGTTGTATTGTAAACAATGACGTCGTCTATATTGCTTATCAATTTGAGCTCGATTGAGACACAGAGGATATTAGTGAAGAGGATAGCGCAAAACCTGTGCAAGCACGGCTTTTAATGGTAGGGCTAAGTTTTTTGTTTGTTGTTGTCTCATACTTTTAGATGTTATTTGTAAATGCTACTGCTTCTGTTAGCTTTTAATATACGGTTTTATTCTGATTAAAGCTTTAATACAGTTCGGCAACCGCACGCGCGTCCATGTATAACGCTTCTCATAGCTATAGTATGTGAAAATAAGTGTATTCACTGAGCTGATGATCTGAATGAGAGAGAGAGAGAGATGCAGAGCGTGTGCAGAGCAGACACTAACTAACGTTAAAAAAGTGAAATCGCAATCATCCACCCCTTTAATGTCTTCAATGACAAAAATTCTCTTAGATTATGAATTTGAATAGAATTGAGCTATCACAGGACAGATTTAAAGATAAAGGAGTATGAGAATAGATATGTCAGTCAAGCGATTCCCCCCCCCCCCCCCCCCGTTTTCACGTTCCCCCCCCCCCCTCTCCAGTTTCATCGTTGGCATGGTTACTGCGTTTAGTTAGCATTGGTGAGATCACACAATGTTCTGGACTTTTTTTTTTTTTTTTTAACATTTGTCACCAGGTTCAAATGTACAAAGCACTAGTGCCAGCATTCATAAAATGTTTCCAATCAATAATTCAGTTGCTTGAGGAAATGTTTGGATCAGCTTCTGGCAAAGACAAACAGTGTGAGCTAATCGAAAGAACAGAGTAGAGTCCATGGATCAGATGTACCCAAAAAACAGACATGACATTTTCTCTATTAATGCACAAACCAGGGCCAGACCTCTCACAGAGAACACAATAGAGCTTGGCACTATAGCGCTAGTGCAAATTAGCATACGGCAGCTTTTCAATCTGTACTATCATGGCTTTTTGTTAGGTAGTACCATTAAAACTATTTGCTGCTGTTCACAGCCAGTTTTCTTCATTTAAAGTCCCCTCAGTTTTAATAAGAAGTCAATGCTCTTTCTTGACTATAATCAAGGAATTCTCTCAGTTCATCCCATTGGTAATGTCATCTAATTTGGCACTTTTGTAAGGAATGCTGCTGTACCATCTGTCTAACTCCAGCATTTTTCCCCTTTCTTCTCTTTCTCCCTGACCCTGCACAATAGTTAATTCAGCTTTTTACATTCACTTTCTTTGCTGCTGTTCCTTTTGTTTACATTATTTGTTTGATTTATATCAATTCCAATTCCATTTGATCTGCCTGAGATTTCAGTTGTGCTTTGCTGCACCCCTTTCTTAGTTTCCTGTTAAGGATGGAAAATTGATTTTTAATTAATTTTTTTTATATTTCATATTAAATAAAATTTTAATAATGATCAATATTCAGTTTTTTATTTTGTTTTATTTTTCCTTCAGTTCCTGGTGCCACTTTGTTTTAACTATCTTTCCTCTTTTCTGGCTCTGTCAAGGGGGATCAGCCACGTCTCACTACTGTGCTGGAAGAGGCATTCTCTAGATACTACAGCCGTAACGGCTCTCTGAATCCTGTAACCGTTTCCTCATAGCAGAGGGGCCAATCTGCCAGCTCCTTTATCTTCATGCACGGGACGGGACTCTAGCGCTTCATCACTCGGAGGATTGTGTGTGAGCTTTGTCGGGAGGGATCAGAACACCTCGAACTGAACCTCAGAAAGAAAACCACCCCTGCGCTCTGTTCTTCACACCGCTTTAGGTGGTGGAAAGTGTTGGCTGATGGTTCCTGTGTACATTTATTCTGTCAGTGTAGCAGTCTGCTTCTCTGTTTTAAAAGAAGAAAAAAATGACTCGTTATTATTTAAATCAGTATTACGAGCTGTACTTTGGAGCGTGTTTGCTTACAGTATGTGTGGGATCGGTTACTTCTGGTTTGCACTTTAGCAAATCTTTATTGTTGTCTTTTTAGGCACATCACATGCATATTTCATGATCTTTTATTCACCCTTTCAATCATTCATTTATTCTTTTTTATTGTAAGAGGAATGCGTTACTGTGTTCTTTTGAAATGACCAAATAACATTGTCTTTGTACCTTTTAAGGCACACATTAATTATGGTTAACTTTGGTCTGCAATGCAAGATTTACGACGACTGTGAAAGGAAAGGGGTTCTCGAAGCATTGAAAAAAGCAAACAGATTATTTATCTATATGCGTATGGTCTATCTTGAAGCGTGTGTCACTTTCATCATTGTGGTGGCTGTTTTTCTTTTCTTCTTTATTACCTGTGAATGTATGCTGTAAGTTTTCATTTTGATGGTTTGTAAGAGAAGGACACTTGATTTGACTGTTTTCCCTGTATGTGATACAGATATGAGTTTCAGTATAAAGAAATGGTCGCCTGTGCACCTGACGTGTTAAAATGTGCCTTCAACAGACACAATCCATGTTCAGAAGACCCATAGACTGACAAACACATTGTATTATTCCTTTTTTTATTGTGCAGATCCTGTAGTGTTGTTTTCTTTCTCAACTGGTCTGCATGCTAGTATACTGTAACAATTGTTTGGCATATTTGCAGTATATTAAAACTCCTAGGGTTTCTGGTGGTGCTTTTGTTGGGCAGCATCATTTGGAGCGAGTTTGCACTGATTTGTTATATGTTGATGGCAATAAATTTCATATTCACCTCGATGGTACATCAACATCATGTTACAAGCGGCTAAGTTGAAATTATGCATGAAATATGGTTTAACTACTGAAAAATTCTAGTTTTCTTCTCATTGGTAATTGTGTTGCTTCTTTTCAATGATAAAAATGGTTCGAATTGCAAATTGCTTCAGCAATTTGACTGGAGTGGAAATGATTTCGGAAATATTGAAATGCACACAATGTTTTTTTTTTTTTCTTAATGCAGACCAGTAGTGACAAATTGGAACAATTTTAAATGGATTAATAATTCATTCTGTGCTTATTTTGAAAGGAACAACAGGCTTTGTATCAATCCCTCTCAGTTTGGTCTGTTTAACGGGCTGAAAATATTGCTCAGAATAATTTTGAAGTGTCTATTTTATCTCATGCAAAACATTCAGAAACTCAACTGCTTTTACTCTGTTGACACTATCTTTTCAAATTTGCACCATTTATTGATATAAAGATGAGATACAGAGTACTTCCATTCTTTGTTTCATTTCATCTAAGTACAATATTAAAAGTAACGGTTCACCTAAAAAACAAAATTCTGTCGTTGTTTATTTACCCTTGTGTCATTCTAAACCCATATGACTTATCTGTCTCTGTGGAATACATATACTATATATCATTTATTTGTTTTATTTTTGAAGTTTGTTTTAACTGTTTTTGTCCATACAATAAAGTTAGTGGGGTCCAAAATGACACTGAACCCCACTGGCTTTCACTTCATAGGTTTGGTTTAAAAAAAGGTGAGTAAATGATGGCAGAACTTTCGTTTTTAAGTGAATGCTGCCTTTAAGTCTCTTGTGTCAGAAATGTGGGAAAGAATACAAGATTATCATTGAAAATGACTTTATTTTTTTAATTAGTAATTTTAATGAATTACTACTTCCAGAATTATTGGAAGAAAACAGCCCTTGCACAAATGCACAATTAGACATCAAAATCTTTTCTTTTCTTTTTTTTCAAAGCAATAATTTTACATAAATTGGCATGCAGACCAACAAGTAGAATTATAAAATTAAACCATTATTTCATCTTGGTTTAGGAAAAAAAAAAAAAAAAAGTATGTCAAGCCAGAAAAATAAACTTCTCATAAAAATTATCCCATTGATACATAAAAAAAGTCAATTTCAGAAACATGAAAACCTACAAACATTTTTTTTTTGGGTGTTGATCACTTCTGTTATAACGTGTGTAATGTAAAAAGAATACAAAACGGTACAAAGCACTCAAATATTCACATACTGACTTACGTTTGATATTGGCTTGTTATATAAATTGAATTCGCATAAATAATGAGGCACAAAATGACCAAGTGAGGCATTGGCCTGTTATTGTCATGGCTGAAGAAAAGCCTCTTCATTTTAAACCCAACACAGGATATCTTGTCCTCACAATGAACTGTGCTCCTCATCAAGTTCACACTTTTCATTATACTGGTATCTTGCCATTTATGCAGTTTGCAGCGGTTTGCTCAGCATTCGCCTGCTGGTCAACAATGTATTTACAGTCAACTTTGATTTCATCTGGAATGAATCTCAAAGCAAGGTCACCTATAAGCGGCCTCAGTGTCTCTGCTGAAATCAGTAAACACAGCCGTAGACTCACCAGAGGCTGTTGGCATTGTCAAAAGGCAAAGTTTTCAGGCAAACCTTGAAGCAGAGATGCCCCCGTGTTTGGAATGTCGAGTCAAAACAATCCTTCAAAAGCCGATTTGTCCTCGCTGGTCTTATTTCTTAAGACACTGGTACATGAGCGCTCTGGGATTCAGCATGTAGCGCTCAGAGTTGAAGAACTTGAGGTACTGAGGCATAGAGGACCTGGGGGCCATGTATGACATACCTGGAGCCACGGCCATCGCTTCAGCAAGCTTCTGCTTCATTTCTTTGACCTCGTGGTCTTGTTTCAGAATTTTAACTGTAAAGAAAGACGTTAGAGATATTCATATTGTAGCCAATACTGATGAGGATGATTTGATATTAATCTATGTTATTTCTATATTAATTGATATTTATATTATATTACTAAAAAACTTCAATACATTTTTAGTCCAAATAAATACATAAATATAAAAAACTCAATTTAAATGCTACAAGGTTCCAAAAGGTTCTTTTTTGTGTGTGTGAATAATATTTTAATAATATAACAAACTTGGAATTGTTCCGTGGATGTTAAAGGTTCTTCACGGAACCATCGATGCCAATTAAGAACCTTTATTTTTTTAAGAATAATTGAATTTAGGCATAATATTATTGTGCAGTATGAAAATAGATATTAATTTTAACATCTGCTAAACATTTAACAAGTGTTATTAAATTATTAGTGTTATTGAATTCTAATATTAAGTGAGGTTTAGATGAAAGCAAATGTAATCTTAATGTAAAAAAAAAAAAAAAGTTGCAGTGTGGGTCTTGTATGGATAACTGGCATAATTTGAAATGAGATGAACCTTGCGCTATCTCCAGCTGTCTGCGTGCATCTCCGAGCGCAGAGAAGAGGTCTAGCTTGAGACGGGTTTCTGCACTCAGGTTGTACTCTAGATGCTGAGCCTTGTCCTGCAAGGAGGAGAGAGCTGAGAGCAAAGCGTCCGCTTCCTGCTCCGTGCATCTGTTCCTCTGGAGGGTCTGGGAGGAGCAGGAGAATATTGCACGCATGAGACAGGAACAGAGCAGAACAATACAAAATAACGGTGATCGGAAAGGTTTGAGGGATTATGAATGATTCAGGTGAACATTTGAATCCCATTTGTCTTGTTCCAAATAACCAGGCTTTCAACCTTATAATGTTTAAAGGGATAGTTCAGCCAAAAATCATTTACACACCCTCACGTTGTTGAGGCTGAAGTGTGTCATTTTTTGTGATATTAAAATTGTTACTTTTCTTTCCGACTATGTTCTTAATTTGATGAAGTACATTCTTTATGCACACAGACATTCTACTAACATTCTACATTCTGTAAAATGTATACTGCCAATTTTTGTCAAATCTGACAGTGCTCCTGCTCCAGTGGTATTATGGGATAGCAAAGTGTCCAGTGGTTGTACACTTAAAGGGGTCATATGATGAGATTTCAAGTTTTCCTTTCTCTTTGGAGTGTTACAAGCTGTTCTTGAATAGATAAGATCCCTAAAGTTGCAAAGACTTAAGTCTCAAACCCAAAGAGATATTCTTTTTAAAAGTTTAGACTTGTCCACGCCCTCCTAAAACGGCTTGTTCTAACACGCCCCCACATGTCTACGTCACCATGTGGGAAGATTTGGATAA